GATAGATGATAGATAGATGATGGATAGATGATAGATAGATGATAGATGATGGATAGATGATAGTTAGATGATGGATAAATGATGGATAAATGATAGATAGATGATGGATAGATGATAGATAGATGATGGATAGATGATGGATAGATGATGGATAGATGATAGACAGATGACAGATGATACATACTGTGAGGACGGGAGCCCCCGGCAGCCATGACCCGTGTCCATGATCGTTGTTCCTCCCCCTTGTGGCCTGCAGGGTGACGACTCGGATGAGGAAGACCTGTGCCTCAGCAACAAGTGGACTTTCCAGAGGACCAGCCGCAGATGGTCCCGTGTGGACGACCCTCACGCCCCCCTCCCGGGGGCAGGCGGGAACGGGTCCCCGGGAGCCCCGGAGATGAGAGACACTGCCATCAGCGAGGGCGTGCTCGCGGACCGGAGGAGCGATACCCTGAGCACGAGGGGTGCGCGGGGGAGGCTTGAGGGGCAGGGGCACGCCAGCGGCCAGGCCATCATCACGCCCGTGTCGCAGCAGCAAGAGCCGGAGTCCTTTAAGGCTATGTCACCGCAGCGGGAGCTGGAGTCCTTTAAGGCTATGTCACCGCAGCCGGAGTCCTTTAAGGCTATGTCACCGCAGCCGGAGTCCTTTAAGGCTATGTCGCAGCAGGAATCCTTTAAGGCTATGATGCAGCAGCAGGAATCCTTTAAGGCTATGTCGCTGGAGTCCTTTAAGGCTATGTCCCAGCAGCGGGAGCCAGAGTCCTTTAAGGCTATGATGCAGCAGCCGGAATCCTTTAAGGCTATGTCGCCACAGCAGGAGCAGGAGTCCTTTAAGGCTATGTCACCGGAGCAGGACTCCTTTAAGGCTATCGTGCAGCAGCAGGAGCCGGAGTCCTTTAAGGCTATCACGCAGCAGCAAGAGCCGGAGTCCTTTAAGGCTATGTCACTGCAGCCAGAATCCTTTAAGGCTATGTCACCGCAGCCGGAGTCCTTTAAGGCTATGTCACAGGAGTCCTTTAAAGCTATGTCACCGCAGCCAGAGTCCTTTAAGGTTATGTCGCAGCAGCAGGAGCCGGAGTCCTTTAAGGCTATGACACCGCAGCCGGAGTCCTTTAAGGCTATGTCACCGCAGCCGGAGTCCTTTAAGGCTATGTCGCAGGAGTCCTTTAAGGCTATGATACAGGAGCTGGAGTCCTTTAAGGCTATGTCACCGCAGAAGGAGCCCTTTAAGGCTACGCCGCCCCCGCAGGTCCCCAACGGACACGCGCAGGCGCCCCCCCGCGGGAGGGGCCGCCCCGGGGCCACCTCCAAGCGCGGGGGCGTGTACCTGGAGGACCTGGACGTGCTGGCGGGGACCCCCGGGGGCCGTCGCGGGTTCCGCTCCCAGGAGGACCTGCTGTTCCTCGTGCCCGAGGACCACACGCCGGGCACCTTCCCCAAGGCCCTGTCCGTCGAGAGCCTGTCCCCCGCCGGGGGCGACGGGGCTGGGTGGAGGACCACGGGCCACGGGGAGGACTCCCCGCCCCGCGCCCCCCGAGCGGGCAGCAGGGTCAGCGTCTACGACAACGTGCCGGGGTCCCACCTGTACGCCAGCACGGGGGACCTGCTGGACCTGGAGAGGGACGGACTCCTCCCCGGGCTGGGGCCCATCCTCCCCCCAGGGACGCCCCCCCCGGGCCCGTCACCCCCGTCGCCGTCGCCTCCTGACCGTCAAAGGGCCTCGTCCCCCACCGGGCCGGGCGGGTGAGTCCCGTTGTGCGTGTGTGTGTGTGTGCGTGTGGAGGTGACGGGAGGGAGCCGGGTCTCCTCCTCCTCCTCTTTCTCCTCCTCCTCCTTCTCCTCCT